TCTTTTGCGTTTTAATGTTAATAATACAAATGTTTATAATTGCGTAAAGAATATAGAGATCTTTCGGGAGAAAAAAAAATCGTTAAATTAAGAAAAATGGGTGTAAAATATGTTCGTATTTGTTTTATGGAATGCTCTAATCAACTTAGATTTCATATCGTTCCTATCGATCGTTTTCAAAACTACGTTGTTAGCCATGGACTGACGATTCTGCGAGCTCTCACATCTTTACCCTATTTTGGAGATGTGCTTCCAGAAACTAGTGGTGTCACCGCAACCGGAGAATTATTGTTGAAAGTTGATCTTAATACACTCACACGTTTATCTTATAATCCTAAACATGCGATTGTCCAAACTTTCTTTGAAAATAAATTGACACCAGGAGATCCTCAATTTGGAAAGATTGATAATTCACCTGATTCACTGGCTTTCCCGCTTTGCCCTAGAACTTGTCTTAAAAATATTATTGATTCTGCCAGTAGGGATCTTGGTATTACTTTTTTGGTTGGAACCGAATGTGAATTCGTATTACTTAAAGACTGCACACCGACGCCCGTTGATAATACTACTTATGCTTGCGCTAGTTCTTTTCGTCTTCCTAGCTCTGTTGAAACCTTGGATAAGATGGTTGAGTCTTTGCAAGAACAAGGGATCGAAGTCGAACAATTTCATTCTGAAGCGTGCCCAGGTCAATTTGAAATCGTCACTGGACCAGAAAGTCCATTGATTGCAGCAGACAAAATTGTTTTAACACGTGAGACAATATATGATGTTGCTTCTCAGGCTGGTATAAAGGCAACGTTTGTGCCTAAACCCTTTAAGGGACAAGGTTTGCTTTTTTTTTTGTCTTGTTTTTGTCTTTTTAATTTATCCCTTAAACCGTCAATTTAATTACATATCTACGATTTAAACTACAATCCAATATAATTTGATAGTTTAATCACAGATCAATCATGAAAATTTCCAGGCATATTTGCTTGGAAAACGGTTTAAGGGATAAATAAGTTTACATGATTTCGAATTTTTTGCGTTAATATTTACGTAAATTTTTGTTGTGAACATTAATTAAGCGGGATCTGGTGCACATGTGCATATATCTTTCAAAGAAATCGACAAGTCCAAGAAAATTGTTGACGATCACCCTTCAGGATTATCACCATATGAAAGGTCATTCATTGCTGGTATTCTACATCACATCAAGGCAATCTGTGCTTTTTCTTTACCAACAGACCATTCATATACACGTGTTGTTGATAATTGCTGGGCCGGATCTTGGATTTGTTGGAGTGTTGAGAACCGGTTAGTATTTCGTGCTTTTTTTTTTTTTTTATGTATAAAACAATGACTCGCATCGTATATTTATCCCATTTCCTTTAATATTATTTTATGGTAGTGAAACGCCAGTTAGAGTGTGTTATAGACCAAGGACTGGTCCAGATGGAAAGTACCTTGATGTTCATTTCGAACTCAAATGTGTAGATGCTACTTCCAATCCATACCTCACTATCTCCGCCATTATTGCCTCAGGAGTTGATGGAATCAAAAAAGAAATGCAGCTTACTACTAGTCCCATGCTCGGTAAGCAAAAACCTTATTCATTATAGAATTAAGGTGTTTATATAACTAATATGTAAAATTCAATAACAGATAATCCTGCTGCTCTAAGCAATGAAGAGCGTAAGAAAAGAGGTGTTACTGAGAGAATGCCTGGAAATCTGCCAGATACATTAAAAGCATTGAGGGAAGACAAAGTACTTATTGAAGCTCTAGGTGAGCCCATGGTACGATGCTATACCGCAGTAAAAGAGGTAAAGTATATAATAAATACTTTGACTAGTGTTTCGGATGGATTTTTTCTCAAAATCCGAAACATAAGTTCGAAACTAGTTTTACAAAATTGCTTAACTCTTGATTTGTTACTAATTCTTTTTATGAATTATTAGAGTGAACATAAATATTGTAAATCTTTGAGCCAAGAAGAACAGCTCAAACTATTGCTCACTCGATTTTAACTTTAGTTCATATTCTCATTTTACATAAAACTGAATGTTCTTT